GCAGTCAACAGAAAACATGCAGGTCAAGAATAAAATACAGCACTGAATCGGGACATTACAGATCAAGCCACTGGTAACAATCAAATGTAAGAAAAAGCACACATTGTCGAGAATAAATTGCTGGAGATCGTCGGAGCACAGAGAACCAGGAGCCGCAGCACATACAATAGCAGCAGTCAACAGGAAACATGCAGGTTAACAATAACATAAATCGGTATACAAAGGGTACACTACAGATCAAGCCACGGGTATCAAAATACAATTCAAGGAAAATCACACATTGTCATGAAGAACCTGCCAAAGCACGCCGAGTTGCTGGAGTGTTTCGGAAAGGAGATCGACGGAGCGCAGAGGATCAGGAGCCGCAGAACTGAAGGCAAAAGAAAAAGGATCACGTTAACAAGATACCGGATTTGCAGAATCGATTCACTTGAAGTTCTGAAGTCTTAACATTTTTAATAAACTGACCCAATGAAAAAACATACAAACACGCTCAAATTCAACAAGAAACCAATAGGTAACAGCATGAGAAATCACAGATACATCCCAGTCCCACTACTCCAATATTTAGAAAGTAGGTTCAGCCTATTATGAATAAAGGAATCCATAAAAAAGAACCAGCGATTTAGTGTTTCCTATTTGTATTCAGCAAAAGCACAACTAAACGAAAAGAAGTGATAACGTTAGTATAAAACCGTTCTGGTGTTAAAAAGCTGTGAAATACGTGTCGTCTTTAATACACAAATATAAACAGTATAGCGTAAGATAAGGATAAAACGTACCTCGGAAAAAAAACTTTCTAACTGGAGGCCGGTTTTTGAAATCCCTTTGTCAACTGGAGAAACAAGAAAACATACGAATTAGTACATTTAATCTTTTCTAAGGTGTATCATTCGGGAACAGAAAGCGATATTATAGCCCGATTCCGAAAGGCGGAGATACTTACAATTAGAGACAGTTACTAACTTTATACAGCAAATGACTGAATATAAATTACAGCTTTTTTCGTTAAAGGAAATAGAGCTAGAGATACCATGTCTTTAAAAAATACTTACATGAAAGGTAGTATAAGAACGCTGAATGCAGACTTTTGAAACTTCGAGAGCACGCTCAAACAGACAGGACACTCATTTCGGCGTCCTAAAACACAAATTCAACAGAAACAAATGCAATTAATAAAAGTTGCAACAACAATAGATTTTTGTCTAACTTTCCTCAAAGTAAAATTTTATTTTTTGCATTTAAAATAAGAAAAGTAGCATTAAAACGCAAACGCACCTCACGCCACAGAAACTCATCCCGCCGCCATCTTGCCGGGCGCACCTGTGAAATCAAGAGTTCTTATTTCACAATGCACAGCAAATACAATAGCAGCAGTCTACAGGAAATACGCAGGTTAAGAACAAGATAAATCGGTATCAAAATACAATTCAAGGAAAAGCACACATTGTCAAGAAGAACCTGCCAAAGCACGACGAGTTGCTGGAGTGGAGCTGGAAGGGAGATAATCGGAGCGCAGAGCAGCAGGAATCGCAGAACTGAAGGCAAAAGAAAAAGGATCAAGTCAACAAGATATCGGATTTGGAGAATCGATTCACTTGAAGTTCTGAAGTCTATTAACTTTAATAAACTGCCCCAATAAAGAAATATACAAACATGCTAAAATGCTCTAACAAGCCACTAGGTAACTTTTAGTGTGGATCTCAGATACAACCCAGTCCCACTACTCCATTAAAAAAATACGCTCAGCCTTACAGAAGATCCATTTTTGAAATTCTACTTCTAAATTTAAATCAAGCACCACTCATAGGGTTTATCATATTCGAGTTAACTCCACGCATTGAAAACTATCGTGCAAATATGTTGGTATTATCCATCTTTACCCAATAGATAAATAAAAGAAGCAGCGCCTTAGAGTTTCAATTTCTATTCAACAAAAGCACAAGGAAAGGAGCAGAAGTTATATAGTTAGTATAAACCCGCTGGTCGAGTTGCACAAATTCAAACAGTATAGTGCAAGGGAGAAATAGAACTTACCTTGGAAAAGCGCTTTCATAACTGGAGGTTCGTTCTTGACATGTTTTTCTCACCTGGAGAAATAAAAAAAACATACGAATGATTAAATTAAACCTTCACAATGTTTTATTTCGGAGCGGAAACCGTTATTATAGCCCGAATCCGACAAGCGGAGACTTCACAGCTACTAACTTTAAAAAGCAAATGTTTGAAAGTTAACTACAGCCTTTTTTCGTTGAAAGAAACAAACCTTATCTTATAAAAACATACTTACATGAAAGATAGTATGGGACCGCAAACTTCTAAAACTTCAAGAGCACGCTCAAACAGTACACTCATTTCAGCGTCCTAAAACACAAATTAAACAGGAACAAATTAAATTAACAAAAGTTGCAACAATTCATTTTGTCCAACTTTCCTCAAAGTGAAAATTGAGTTTTTGTATTTTAAATTAAGAAAATTAGAAATAAAATGCAAACGCACCTCACGCCGCAGAAACTCGCCCCGCCGCCATCTTGCCGGGCGCACCTGTGGAACAGGTGGACGGGGCGTGTCCGCTGAGGAAGGTCACTCTGGGGGCGGGCTCGGCTCCTGAATGACAGCTGTGCACTGTTACAAGGGCTCAACACTCACGGTACTGAAGATAAATAGAAACGTGAACTCACCAAATCGTACATAAAGTATATAACGGCTAAGGATTTTCAGACAACCGAATACAGTAACATTCTCCTACAAAGCTGTTCGCCGGACTCATTTAGCTTGTGGCCGGTTGATCGAATCAAGAGAAATGTGCTGGAGAGAGACCCCTGTCGCTCCTAGTTAGGACTGCACCTCTCTTTCACTGCTAGTGCCACACCTGTCCTGCAGGTGTCTCAGTGGTATAAGGGGCTGCTTTTTCGAATTGAATTCCGATCTATGCATTTCTAAAGGTCTTAAACCCCCCTTTTTCCCTGTTTTGGAAGGCCCCGAAAATGGAGCCCCCCAAAACGGCCGGCGTGGTAGAGAACAGCCCCCTTTACAAACTCACCCCGACAGCATGAGAGCTTCACCCGGGGCTTAGGTCTCAGACTGACGGGGAGGCTCGGGGCTCAACTTTAACTCACAAGACTCTCCGGGAGTCGATCTGCTCTCCGAACTTTAGAAGTGTCCGATGGTTCAGCCTGCGGAGCCACCAGGCCGGCCACGCAGAATACCGGTCATGAGCATCTCTTATCCAGGTTAGAGGCACGTCACAGTTGCGAGACAGTGCAACTGTCAGGGATGGATTTCTGCTAGTACAACGTGCTCGTAAAATCAGAGGAACAAGCAGAGGTTTATTCCTGCTGAAAACTGAGGAAAAGAAACACAACGTTTCGGCTGTGGAATAAACGCAACCGGTCCAGCGTTTTCTAACATCTTCATCATCATCTTCTTCTTCTGCACGAAAGCTCCCGATTAGTGAGACAGGACGTGTCTGAAACGGAGAATTACATTTTCCACAGCAACGCGTGTAACGTACAATACCTCCGTGATTTCACGTGTCCAGTTGGACCAAGTACGAGACAAAACAGCATTTTGCAGCTACAGGAGAAACGGCCTCCTCGGATTTTTAACAATGAAAGATGCCAACGATTGTTGTTCCTCTGCTCCTAAAAATCCCTCTGTTTTTAGGAGCAGAGGAACAACAACAAAACTAAAATTCCCACTCTTCTATAAATTGGAACGTTTATTATCATTCGTGACGTCGCTGGACTCAATCCCAGTGATCTGATTGGCTCTGGATCCTCCCATTCATAAACAAGAGGGTTTAGACCCCAGTCACATGATCTGGGTGTTTAACATCACACAAGACCCTCACTTATGCACTGTAACCCAGCCCTCCATAGACTCGTGTATCACCACCGCCGCCTGGCGGACATTGATCGGAATTGTTACCTCCTACTGTAGTTTGATCAATAGGCTTCATTTTGTTTCTAAAGATTTCACTAACGTGCGGGCTTTCTTACGTTTTTACTTTAATATCCAAACATTTTTCCGGAATCGACGTATTCAAAGCTAACAATAATAACAGTTTTGATTCCTAAATATATTAATCACTTTTTTACAAGAAAAACTCCTAAAGACTAGCGTCTTTAACGTTACCATATATTCATCTCATACACACATTCTAGGGTAATTATTTGAATGACGAAAGATTAAACAATTTAAGAGCCTCTAAATTAGCTTAGTTTGTAAAGTTCTAGCAGCAATGCGAAAAGCAAGTTTTCACGGTGACATTTCACAGTGTGGCCGCCAGGCGGAGACATTGCTACACGTGTCTATGAAGAGCTGTTTCAATGGAGCCCTTTTCAGTTTCCAGCCGTATTCCCATCTGTATCCAGTCCAGCTCCTGGCCCTGAGCCTCAGTGACACAACCGACTCCAGTCTCAGACAGACATTCTCACCAGCTTTGAATGTACTGACTGACATCAGGTTCTCATCGTAGATGTCATATAGATCAGTTTTAATTCTTCCTCAATAACCTGCTGGTTCTGACACACTTGCTCTGCAGCTGGAAAAAAACGTGTTTTCCACAGCAGTTTAAGTGCAGGTCTTTCAGCCACTATTCTGTTAACTGTGTTTTGCTGCCACAGTCCAGAACGTTTTGTCAAAACCTATTGCACACGTTCCTGCAGAAACGTGTCCCTGCCTGTCACACGTGTGTTCATTGATCTATCTGGATCAGAGATCTGTCACTTTCCAGCTGTAACTTTCAGGCCCTGACCAGTTTTAACTCTCTCTTGTTCTACACGTTTACTAAAGGCTGTATTCATCCTTTTGCAATTGATCCTGTATTGATTATTGTCTGAACTTCTGTGTACAATTGACAAGTACCCACCTTCTCATTTCAGCTCTAACAGGATACAGCTCCCGTCTCAAAACACTTTGCAAGATCATTGTGTACCAAAACCCCTGTCTGTCTTATCCTTTATTACAACATGATTGATCTGTCTGCTGGTCTGTGCTGTACATGAGGAGGAGTCACACAAGACTCTCAAGCAGGTTCCTGATCGCCCTGCTCTAGAACTGAGTGCCTCCTGCCTCCTTAACCGTGTTATACTGGGTTGTAAAGGAACTTGGGGTGACCTGCTCAGGATCGAAAGGAGTTATATACTGCATATGAAGATTAAATATACAATGCAAGTGTTGCACTAAAAAAAAATATATTAACCAATTAAAAAAAATGTCAAATGAGAAGGAGAAAAAAAAATAGAAGCAGTAAGTCTTAAATTAAGATTTATTTCAAAATTCATAAAAACATTCACCTGTATTTAAACACCCTGCAAAGCCTTTACATATAGGTACAAATAACTAAGGAAATAAGTTCAATATGCAACCTGAATTATCGTTGCCTTCGATTCAAGGCACAGCAGAAGAAGCACTGATCGGTACCGTGTCGGATTCCTACACAGTACTGAAGCTCAATTCCGTGTCGCTAAAGAGCTCATCAGCTGTAGCAACCAAAGAGTCCGACTTCGTAGGTACGACAAAATGTTCCGAGAACCAGGTCAGTGTAAATGCTGAGAATAACTGGCTGTCTGAATTCCAACAGTTATCTCCAGTATTCTACTTACTGAAAATCAATCGAACTATTGGTTTTATGTTCAAAATGCTGCCCTCAAGGGTCTCTAGTATTATGAATTTTTAATATAATGCCTTACAGATTGGGATAATTTGCAGAGGGAGAAAAAGAGTGGATAATGGAATTGTAGAATGCAGTGTTCTCCTATTCAGTGTCCTGTGCCAGATGTATAGATCGGAGATGCATTGTTTTTAAAGCACTGTACAGTACAAGACTGGTCCAGTGGTCAGTAGTGCTGCCTTGCAGCACTGGGTTCATTTCCAGACCTGGGGTACTATCTGCATGGGGTTGGGGGTCCAAAATCTTTCTGGTAGGTTAACTGGCATCTGGGAAAACTGGCCCTTCAGGTGAGCATGTCTGTGTGTGCCCGTTGATGGACTGGCATCCCATCCAGGGCGTACCCTGCCTTGTACTTACTGCCTGCTCGACCCTGAATTGGAAGAAGTGGTTAGAAAATGGGTGGATGTACAGTACAAAACAAATCACTCTTCCAAGTGTTGATGTTCGCTGGTCAGACATCACCATTCACCCTGCCCCTGAGTCCTGGATGGGCCCGGAAACCGTGCAGTTTAGATATTTAGACAAAAACCTTTAAGCATCAGGACAAAAGAAATAACATCCAAGCCACATACTGCAAATGCACCTCTTTAAAAAGCCCTTTTCAAATTTATTAGAACAAATATTTCTCTCAATTTCAGAGGGGGAAACAAAAAACAGAAATAGAATTTTACAGTATATAATTCCCCCATCTGGTCTCTTTCAGAGTCTACACACCACTACATTTTTGAAACTCAATATATTGACATTTTCAGAAGCAAACTAAATACATTTTAAAGCAATCCAGCTCTGAAAAGCTGTATTTATATTGCTCATTGAATCAAGTAAACAACAGCTTGACTACAACAAATTCTAAACTTTTACAGAACCATCATGTCAAAATAAATAACAGCAAACAGCCATGCAGTGGAACCGTGCTCAGGGAACAGTCCGAGGCCAGCAGGACAGCGTAAAGACTAAAGATGGATTTACATACTAGTACTCTCTAAACCAGTTCTGGAATGCAGTTAAAACCTGCTGTGAGGCCATCGCTGCTTCTTCAAAAGTACACATTCCCCATCTGCTGGGGGCTTTGCTAGTTTGTGCATCATCCTTATTGTTTGATAGCTTTTTGGTATTGCACAAAGATAATATTTATAGATTGCTTCATTTTCATAGCTTTGTACTGTATTAATGTACAGACAGCCATACAAATCACAGTTAGACTGACTACATCGTAAGCAGGGTATAGCATTCAATATGTCCTGTGGCCCACACTGGGATTATTCCTGTTGGAGTGACGCAGGTCTGAAAGAGACTGGTTGACAGGGTACAGGGGTGGAGAATCAGGACTCAAGGAGACATGCCGAGAGCGACCCCAAGCGCTCCTTGTATCCCCTCGCCAAGTTTCTGGGTTGTACATCTGCCAAACCAAGACAACACGCCCATACACACAAAACCCCTCCAATCAAGGCACACTCACACAACAAGAAAACAGCACTGCAGAATATTTCTCTCCCTCTAGAAACAACGCAGCAGCTTTTTGATCCAAATTCAAGAGGAAAAAAAAACGTGAAGGTAAAAGGATTGCCAAGGAAATGATGAAAAGTCCTTTGTGGTTCTGAAAAAAAAAAAAGACTCCAACCGATCTGCAAATCAGTGGATTAACTCGTTCTGCTGGTAAATTTTCTTTGGTATTAGTTTTTCCCCCCACCAAGTGCTTCTCCTACAAAGTTTCCTTTCCAACACCTCGGATAGAATATCCACACTTCCCAACACCGCAGCCCACCGCAAAGGTCTGGACTTGCGGCAGCCGTCAGCGGTTGTGCCATTTAGATCCAAGATGGCCCCCCGCCCTGTCCACAACACAGCATCAAGAAAAAAACGTACAGTAGCTCGTGCAGCTTTTAAAACGTCTGCAGCTCGCTAGAAGACAGGAAGAATCAGCGTTAATTGAAAGCCGCTCCCGGCAGCTGAACATCATCGCCCTCTGTGATCGGGGGACGCTGGGAAGTCCCGGGACCTGCGCTTGGCCCCGGTGGGGGCCGTCGGCGTGTTTCGGACGGCCCCGGTAGCGATGGGCGTTGGGGGGGCCCGCGCTCCTCATCAGTGGTCTTGCTTGAAGCGCAGGTTGTTGAAGAAATCCCGGACTTCCTGGTCTCTGCTGGGACCGCCGCCCCCGCGGAGCCACAGCACCCGGCTCTCCGGGACGTCGTCCTTCAGCTTGCGCTTGGCCAGCGTCACCTCGCCCGCCGCGCCCTGCCCCTCCGGCCCCGTCAGCAGCACCAGGCAGGCGTGCCGGCCCTTCTCGAACAGCGCCGCTGAAACGAGCCAGGGATCGCGGGTGAGGAAAGCGGTTTTGTCTGGGAGTTTCACAGGGCACCCAGGGCACGTCCTGCCCGTGCCATCGCAGGAAACAAACTGGCAGTGGAATTCAGTATCGTGCGTATTCTGAGGACTGCAGATGAATGGGGGACAGGAGACTAAAGGCTGTCTAGGATTGGTTAAGACAGTGCCACTCAGAAATGCAGCGACCTCTGGGACTACATGTAGACGTGCTGTGAAAGGATGACTCTCGGGACAATCGGAATACGGAACGAATCTGGATTGATTATCAGCAGCTGGCTCAAAGGCAGCTCCGCTGGCTTTCACCCTCCAGCTGTCTTCATACCTAACAGGTTTACAACCCACAGGAGCCACTGCAGGAGAGAAGTACTGAATGGGTCTTTCAGCAGCTTATATACGGGTCAGGCAACGTTTCCCAGGGTGATAAGGCACGCATTCAGTAATTCTCCAGTTTCTCTGGCCTTGGTCTCCGACTAATGTTTTGATACTCCGGAACACTTATTCCTGCCATCCGGCCTCTTTTTTTTAAATGAACGTGCTGGGTGTGTGTGGGAAACCTCGCGATCGGAGCCCGGATCTGCGGCTGCCAGGCGGACCGCGGAGAGAGGCCCAGGAGCCACACCTACCCTTGAAGGCCGCGATGGGGTCGGGGGTGCTGCTCTTCTCCAGGAGCGCGTCGGGCTGGGAAGGGTGTAGCATGTACATGAAGCGTTCCTTCGGGGATGCCTGTCGGATGAAAGAAACGGAGCACAGCGTGACACGTGAGAATGAGAGAGAGAGAGAGAGACAAGGGCCGAAGAAGGAGGCTGTCGCGTTCCGGGACGCGAGAGAGGACACGCCCACCTGCGGAGAATGAGCTCCCTGTGGGCGGGGCTCCCTTCCAGAAAGCGAACGAGCAAACTAGGTTCCGCACCGGAAGCAGATTCTGGGAAAGGGATCTTAGAGCCATGAGACCCTGCGGCCCCCTGACCTGACCTCGGCACAAGTCACCCAGCTGGGGTGCCGGAGCCGACACACTTCCTCTGGGAAGCTGCTCCGATCAGGACACGACTGTTCTACACACAGGGCGTCTGGCGTCTGGGACAAGGCGTCTGGCATGCTGCTGAAGCCCTCTCCACCACTTCCTTCACACACAGGCTTGTTTTTAAGACTCATCTCGGCCCACCTAGCAGAATCC